TCCAGAGACATAGCCATTACGCTAACTGCTGATCCCCAAGGGTCTGTCTCCATTCTCCTCTCGGGATCTTGGGCATGACGCACATGCGCCCAGCATGAGTTTAAGCCACTGGGTCCAGGACTTGAACGGTGCTTGACTACATAGGAGTCCAGCGACATAGCCATTATGCCAACTGCTGGTCCCAGTTTTCTAATTTCTCTGAATGTAACTTTAAATGAACAGGTAGCGTGGTGATTAAGGTGCTAGATTCCCACATGGCCAACTGTGGTTTTGAATTCCAGACCTGGAGGTTTTCTCTTTCTCTGGTCAAATTAAAAAATAATAGTAATAAAGATAACTAAAATTGAAAAAATAGGGGTTTTTTTCCCAATTTTTTTCAGATTATTATTATTTATTCTAATTTGTTTAACATTCAATCACTATACATCATCTGGCTTATAAAGAGAATATACCTAACATGAAATACTTCTCAGACCAGTCCAGTGGAGAGTATTATACATGTTAAAATCAACAAATAAACCATTTATCTTTTTTTTCTTTTGAGAGGTTTTTGCTATAGGGTATATGTGGAAAAAAATAATTCTTTTTTTTATTATTTAATTGTATTTATTCATTCATTTTTTAAAATTTGATTTCATCACAGAGAGAGAGAGAGAGCGCGCGCAAGCAAGCTACCAGGTCCAGGACTTGAACCATGATCAGTCATGTGGGAGTGTCCAGCACCTTATCCACCAAGCCACCTGCTGGTCCCCAAAAAAATAATTCTTAAAAAAAAAAAAAAAAAAAAAAAAGAAGGAGCAGCCATAACTTTACAGAAACTAAATTAAGACTAAAAATGAAAAACAAATTTCAAAGGACTCCAAAAGCCGGTTTTAATGGATTTTACCTCTAATGCCAAGGCAGTCTTGTCATAAGCACAGGGTACTCTTTTCTGGATTGCTTTCGCAAAGACAGGTCCATTCTGTGTGGATGGCAAAGGGTTGATCGCTGCCCCAGGGGTACTGGAAACTGCAGGAAGAGGAGTTGTGGTCTGTGGCTGAGCATACGCGTGAGCAGGTTCTGGGATCCCGTAACTGTTGGAATTCCTATTTCCATGTTTCCCGTGTGGCGAGGATCTCACAAGCTTTTCAACATAAGGGACAGGAATCATTCCAACCCGGCCATCCTTGTTCCGGGCACTCCACCACTGTTCTTCAGGCTTCTCTATGATCACAAGGATCTCACCCTTTTTAAAGGGCAGGTCTTCAGCATCATTCCCAGGGAAATCATAGAGAGTCCGTACATATTCCAGATTTTCTTCTGCTGTAGGCAGGTTGGGTGCGGAGACAGATCCCATTGGTGGACTTGGGTACCTTAAAAGAGAAAGAAAATTACTCTAACAGCAGAATCTTACTCTACACCAATAAGTCAAACTTCTAACAATAGAAAAGTAACTCTTTAATGAACTATTTCCCCTTTCTAAGGTCTCAGTACTTATTCTGCCATGTTAGTCTCTGTAGTCTGTATCCAAACAAATATGAGTACCCTAATTAAGCCTTTTCAAATTACATGCCAAGTACAAAATATACTCACACATCCCATCTCTACTCTACAGAAACCTCTTGCTTGGGGGCCAGACAGTGGCACACCATTAAAACACGACATTCTCCAAGGTAATCCCACATGGGAAAATTCCTGGTTCAGGTCCAGAAACCTCCGTGAATATGTCAGACACATGCCTGCTCATGATCTAGGGCCGGGTGAGGGCGGACTGTGTATCACAATCCTGTTGAGAGTTGCTTGTCTCTTTTACGTATGGAAAAAATACACTTTACAAAAGGGGGTTGGGGCAGCTGGCAGTATGATGGTTAAGGTACCTTAACCACATGGCTGATTACACGGTTCGAGTCCTGGACCCAGAGGTTTGAAAAACAGGCCAGGTGGCCAGGCATGTGTGTGTGTGTGTGTGCCCAAGGTCCTGGGAAAAGAAGGAACTACATTACGGCATCCCACCAAGGGGTGCTTTCTTTCTCCTTCTCCCCCCTTCTCCTCTCCGCTCTTCTCTTCTTTCCTCTCTTTTCTCGCTGTCAGCAAGTGCACACACCCTATGGCTAAAACTAACTGAAACTAAAAGCAAAACAAAACTAAGATCCCGTTGGGAGTGCTGTCTGTGTCTGTCTTTCTCCTCTGTCTCGCTTGCTCATGGAAAAAATAAAAAACTTAAGGGGAGAGTGGGCCAAAGGGCCGGCAGGTGTCATGGTGGTTAAGGTGCTGGATTCCAACATAGCCAATCATGGTTAGAGTCCTGGACCTGGAGCCTTGAAAATCACACCAGGCGCATGTGTATACTTCCCCAAAACCCCAGGACAAGAATGGAGGAGGGGCATTGGCGGGTGGCATGATGATTGAGGGTATGTGACTCCCACATGGCTGACCATGGTTCGAGTCCCGGACCTGGCAGCTTGCTTTCTCACTTTCTCTTTCTCTCTATCCCAATCAATGAATGAATAAATAAAGTTAAATAAAAATTTTTTGAAGAGGTTTTTGCTATAGGGTGCATGTGCTCACCAGAAAGAGAGAGACAGAGAGACAGAAAGCGAGAAATCACCTCCCAGGAGGGATGACCACACTGCAATCCCTTCTCCTCCATTCTCCTCTTGGGATCTTGGGCACACACACACATGCGCCCAGCGTGAGTTTAAGGCACCGGGTCTTGTACTTGAACCACGCTCAACTACGTGGGAGTCCAACTGATGGTCCCGGAAAAAAAAACATTTTATCATTACTTGTACCACGCCCCCCCCCAATTTTCTGAAGCACAGATCTACACTAGATCAACAAACCCTGGGCTTCATTCTGTG